TATATATATATATATATATGGTTTCAAATTTTATTACATTTATCTTATAAGAACACGCACAATTTTCTGAATCATAATGACAAATTTTTTCCTCATTAGAATTATCCTCTTGACTTATTTGAACTATTTCTTCTTCACATTCACTTTAGGTCTCATGTAAAAGTAATTTAGAAATCTGAAAATTTTGAAGATTTTGACAATCATATATATATAGAGAGAAAGGAGAAATTTACTTACTCAAAGAGTAAATTTACCTAGACTTACACCATTCAATAATTCATATTCTATATTAAATTTTAACAATTCAACCGTTAAATTAAAATTTCTCAATGCATAAAAGTTTTAAAGTTTTTTTAAAAAATTAAAAATATTTGATACTCCATTTTATTAATTCAATTGACAAATAATCGTATAAACATTTTATATATTAATTTAAATTTATATAATAAAATATTAAATAATTTTTAAATTTTTTTAAAGAATTTATAGATTTAATTTATGTATTAAGAATAATTTAGATAACTTTAAATATTAAGAATAATTCAACAATAAGATAATTAAAATTTGTAAAATTTGAATTATTGAATAAGATATACGGATGGTGCTTATATGCAAAGTTATATAAAGTATTAGTGTTGTGAGAAGGAAACGGGAGTCACTTTTATTTGGTAGAGTGACACATCACAAGCGGTCTTTACATGAGAATCAATATTACAGTTCATTTTTTTTAACAAAGAATGAGAATACAGGTAGCAGTATTATCAAAGAAAAATGCTTCATCCCAAAAAATGAATAAAAAATTGATTTAAATAATAAAATATTAAATTAAATAATTATTTTATAATAAATTTATTTAAAAATATTAATATTTTATTTATTCAGACACTAATTGAAATTTTGTTCGAAATATATAACAATGCTTATTAGCATTATCAAATGCAAAGTTATTATGTGACGTAACATTGTGTCTCAATTAATTATGTATAATCAATGTTCTCGATCAGCACTACCAATCATCCTCAAGGAGAACCTCTCCCAGATAAAACACATTTCATTAGCCATTGTAACATGACAAGATAGTGTCTGCATAAACTTAGCAATGGATATGAAATTAATCGAAAATGCTGGAATATAAAGAGCTACATAAAAAAAAATAGCGACTCAGATAGAGGAATATTGCCATGTTGGTAGCACAGGTTTATTGTCCATCAGGCAGCCTGAAATGGGTAGGATTGATCTGTAGCTCGGAATCCAGTATCCAAGAAGAAGAAATTTTACTCAAGATGAAGATTGCAAGAACATTAGCTAGTTCGTAGAACAATCTCAACAAGCCACAAACTCCACCACTTTCGTTAAAGTCTCCCTCAACATCGCTTCTATCAGGCCACAAGAACAAATGGTGTTCTTTTTCTTTAAGCATCCTTAGCAACATCATGCAACGACCAGTACTTCATCAAACTCAACGAATTACGTGACATAATGGCACCTATTTAAAGTGACCGGGAGTTCAAACAAGCCTAGAGCCATGCGCATATGCGTAGCAGACCCACACTCATCACCTCTGCCACCAGCAGGCCATGACTGAGCCATAGTCATACACTTCTGCCATCAACAACCCAATCAAACCAAGTGTGAACGCAACCCAAGAAAGGATTTTCTCTTTCCAATTAATATATGTGATTCCCGTCCATAAGGGCCACAAGAAAGACACACATGCAGTATTTAACCAAATCCAAAAAAGAAAATATAATATGAGTAGTGTTATGTAAGGAAGATTCTTCGGTGAAGTACTTAAAAAATGCTATACTGAATTATCGTTTATCATAATTAGATTTATTTATAAAATATTCTATGGCTGAGATTAAAGAAGGGTGACCGAAAATCTACTGGTTATCCGATAGGCAAATATTCTCCATGAGAAAAATACCAATTAAACACACGGTAACCCTTTGATATAATGGAAGTTGTTGATTAATCTTTCATGCTTTCCAGATATAATATCTTTCGTGTCATACAACAATTTCCATGTGACATTGACTAGGGAACACTAGTGACCCATTGAACGTAACTCCTGAATTAAATCATTGAAATCGGTGTACGATGATCCTCCTTCCTGCATGGCCCGATTAGCTAGTTGCGAAAACGCCTTTGCTTTGATCCTCATTTGAGTGGCTTCTTCCCTTTTCATCACCCTCTTCACAGCCTTCTCCACTGCATCCCATGCAATACTATCCCCCTGAAATCCCACCCGTTTTTTAGAACCAACAGGTACCCCAATTTGAAGAACTTCAACCACCAATTTCTCATTGAAAAATTGTTCTGCAGCAATAGGCCAAGTAACCATGGGAACCCCTGCAGTCACTGCTTCCAAAGTTGAATTCCACCCACAATGAGTCACATACGCTCCAATCGCCTCATGTTCAAGAATCAGTAGTTGAGGTGCCCATCCTCTTATTATTAGTCCCTTACCTTCCATCCTCTTCTCAAATCCATCAGGCACCCATTCCTCTCCACCATCTTGTTTGTTTTTCCTCACCACCCAGATGAAATCTTGCCCTGATGCTTCAAGACCCATAGCAATAGCTCTAAGCTGAGAATCACACAACTTTGCTATACTTCCAAAGCATACATAAACAACTGAATCGGGTTTCTTTGTGTCAAGCCACTTGAGGCACTCGTGCTCATCAATAGAAGCTTCCTTTCCTCTATTTGCTTTCTCTTGGGAGTTCCTGTTGCAAAGAGATAAGGGACCAACATGCCATGCTTTTCTTCCATGCACCTTTCTGTAATGATCGGCATACACCTTCTCGAGTTCGTAGAAGCTATTAACAACAACCCCATAGCTCCTCAACTCTGATTCCCTTGCCTCCTCAACCAACTTATACACACCTGTTATGTCATTACTCTTCAAAAATGATCCCGCTTGCATCCTTGTAATTTTAATCTCACCCGGGAAATTAGGAACAACGAAGGAGTCGGAATCAGAAGAAACATCATCGTAGAGTTCCAAACACGTCATGACACACAAGGAGAAGAAACTAGTTCCATGAAAGACGAGCCTAGGGATTCCAAATTTGGCTGCGGAATCCGTTGTCCATGGGAAGAACATGTCAGCCACAATGCAATGTGGACGTTGGTCGAGCAATAGTTGCTCAAACGGCTCTTGTAGCAAACGGGTGCCCAAAATGAAGGGTTTAAACAAGTCTAGGGAAGGGATTGAGTCAACATTTTCACAGCCATGAGATAAACCAACCTGTGCACTAGGGAACGCGATGGTTTGAATGTGGATCCCGTTTTCGTCGTTCGTTTTGGCTTTTCCAATGGCGTTGGAGATGAAATGTGCGTTGAGGGGTGTGGTGATTATAGTGGCCTTCACACCCTTTTCAACAAATAATTTGGCCATGTCAATGGCTGGTATAATATGACCATGTGCCAAGAAAGGGAAGAAGAAAATGTGTAGAGGATGATACTCACTACTACCCATCTTTCTCTCACATAGTATGTTTAATAAAAAGATCAAAATTGATTTTTTCAAAAAAAGTATAAGAAACTGTATTAGATGTGTGTGATAGTCTATTTAAATAATATAATAATAAAATAATATATTATTAAAAATATAAATAAATAATTTTATAAGATAAAAATAAATTATTAATATAAATTATTCTTTTAATAAAAAATAATATAATTTTTTTCTAATATTTTTTTTAAGATTTAAATTTAATAATATTAAATAAAATTATATTTTAAAAATAATTTTATTAATTCTTAAAAATAAATTTATTAACTTAATTAATATTAATAATTTAAGTAAACTTTTAATTAGATTAATACATTAGACCAGATTTTAGATTAGATTTATAAAAAAATTATAATAAATTATATTTTTATTTTTATTTTATAAAATAAACTTAATTTATATATTTAAAATATGATTTAATTTAATCTATTTTCTTTTTTAATGAGAAGCAATTAAATTAAATTACAAAAGAAAAGAAATAGATATAGATTCAATTTATTGTGATATAAATATTTGTTCCACAGTTTATTTTTAGATTATTGTTATTATTATCTTTATTTATTTATTTTGAAAGAATTTGCTCGACAGCTAGAAATTAATTTCTGGGTCGGTCCGTGAGTGATTTTGTCGGTTACGGCATGCATGTGTCATTATTAAGAGAAGACTGAGGCATGTGATTGTCAGGAGTCAGGACAGATTGAAATTGTTACGTCATTGAATACATAGAAGCCGCTGCCCCCATTTTGTAGAAGCAATTCTTTTTTCTTTTTTTTTTTTAAATCAAACAAGTCTTAATTACATTTTTACAATACAATTTTATAAATTTTGCCTAGAAATATCTTATTTTTAGTTTATATATATATATATATCGAAAAGTTATAATAATATTGATATAATTTTTATTAAATATTACATTATTAAATAATTTTATATTAAATATAAATTTTGTAAACTCAACTGTTAAATTAAAAGTTCTTTATTCTTAAATTATATATATACAAAATTTTATATTAATTCAACATGATTTAATATTTTATTTTTATAAAATAAAATTGACGTAATATATTTATTTTAAAATATATTAAGATATGAATATTTTGATTATTTTCAAGTTGTTATTCTATTTTAACAAAATTTAATATACACATATAAGTCAATATAACGGTTGAATTTACAAAATTAATAATTAATATAAAGTTATAAAGCGGTGTATTACTTAATAAAAGTTACATCAATGTTATTATAACTCTCCTCATATATATATATATATATTATTTTTTTTTATTTTAATTTTTGTTATTTAATTTTATAGAAATTAAAAAATAGTATTTGTAATTATATAAACTAAAACAAACAAAAACATATATAAGTTAAAATAAAATATTCAAATTATATAAACTAAAATAATAAATTAATATGTAGAGCCATCAAATGGATCAAATTAGTCTAATCAACATGATCTATACATGTCAAATATTATGTCAAATATTATTTTTTATTAGACCATCTTAACTTATATATTTTTAATTGTAATATAAAACATCTAGTTATTTTTGTATAATTATGAGAAATTCTATCATTACATGTTAATTATAAAAATTATTCTAATAATATTTACATATAAATTATGTTAATTTCATCTGTCATTTTCTAAGTTGAAAACCCAACTTGATTTTTTTAAAATTATATTATATTGTTCACTATTTAATACTCAAATAACAATGTGATAAATAATCCAAAGCCATAAATAAAATGTAATATTATCAATAAATAATAAATCTCATACTTTCTCTTTAAATTTTGACCATGCTATTAATGGAAGATATATTATCCTATGTGAGAGAAAATATGTTTTCATCTATCCTTCACCCCTTAAGAGTTCCAAGTAATATTTTAGATAAATCTAATCTAGTATGTAAACTATTCAATTTACAAAATCAAAGCAACTTACAATTTAACCTCCAATTTAAATTAACATAATGAACAATTACAATCATATAATCTTTTTGAGTAGTACAAATGTTCATACATCATAAATCAAACATATTCTACTCAAAATAATAGTTAGCACATTCTTTAGTTTTTTCTATTTAGTTAAAAATATTTTATTGTAAATAATTAATCCTAATTCTAAACTTATAAATACAAGCAATACAAAAAATTTGAAATACTACTACTATTAGAGTATTATTATATTATTCTATTATTTTATAACACATTATGAATTGATGTTAATTTAGATTATTTCAATTATTAATTTAATGAACTAACCTATAAATTTGCAAGTCAGCTTGACCTGAGACCATTTAACCTATTAACCTTAGCAGACTTGGCTAAAATAGTTTGATTCTATTTAGACCATTCTTTTTAAAGACAAATTTGCTCTTATTTTCGAACTGAGTGGACCATCCTTTGAGTTAATCCCCAAATTAACAACTCTATTAATATGAAATCGTGTATTGCTCATCTACATGTGCTATCATATTTATTTTCTTATACTATTTAATTATTAATTTGTTTAATTTATTTTATAATAACTTGGTTGATTTTCATTAAATAAAGTTAATTAACAGGATAAGTATTTGCATTATTTTTGTACTGACTCAGATATATTAATCACTTATTCTTTTAAAACTAAAAATTTAAATTTTTAACTTTTACAATTTAAATTTTATTGATTTTAAAAAATATGATTTTAATATTAAAATACTTCTTAATTTACTTTAAGATTCATAGAGAAAAATATAAGGTAAAATGAAATGAACTAATTTTACATAAATACTATTTTGTTAATAAAAAATAAGTTTATGAAATTATTTTGGCCACAAAAATGATCTTATCACCGAAGTACTCAATTATTCTTTTTTTCTATTTTTTTTAATTGTGTTTTATTTCTAAAATAAAAATCTGTCTTTTTACGGGATGTCTTTCTCTTCTTAACCTAATAATAAGACTTTGTGACCTTGATTTTTTTGTCTCCCTCTTGATCTTGAATAAGTAATATTCTTAAAAGTGGTTAAATCAATACTAAAGAAGATGATTAATTTATCAAACACTTTAAGTTGCAGCAATTTACATTACTATTTAGATACTAAGCAAATGTTTAACTAAAGTAATATAAGATAAGACTTTTGTCATAGCTTGTAGTAGAAGAAATTCATCAACTAAACACCTATGAGTATTTAGACCTATCTATTACATACATGTTTCTCATGAAGAAAGGTAGAAACAAGAAAATAAGACTATACAAGAGATGTTCTTGGGGCACAGCACGCAGAGAAAGGACTACAAAGTTTACAATTTACAAACAAATCTCATCATTAGTTAAGATGTTGAGGTTGAAAAAATGTTAAGAACAACATTTTCGTTCTTGTACAATAATCTCAAGAATTTCAAGAAATGACGGGAGATCCAAATATATATATAAAACTTGCAACACAACTATGCTTGAACCTAATAGAATTATGAAGAAATATCATAGAATAAAAGAAACATAACAAATTCAATTCGAATAATATAAAACAGAAGATCAAATTATGAACTATGCTCAAAGTTACTGAAATTTGTATCAAGGAAAAGTATTAGATCCCAATGCAAATATAGGAATATGTTAGAAAAGTATTATCATAAATAATCAAGAAAAGTAAATAAACAAGCTCTTGAAAGTACTGTAATGAACTTTAGAATTCATGCTAACAAACCACGGACATAATGTTCTACACACTTTTACCTTACTCTTTTAAACCAGCACAACTAGTGATAAAAAATAAACGCAACTCCTGTGATACGTGGGCCATTACCATTACCGAGAATAATGTTCTACACACTTTTTTTTTTTCTATCCATCCGGATAGCCGTGACTAATCTCCTCGCTAAGTTGGAAGCACCTCAAAAACTACACACTTTTATTAAAACCAACAAAATTCTTCTAAATTAATAATTAAAAAAAAAACTTTCATCTTCCTCTTCTCGTTTAAGTCTCTCCGTATTATTTCATCACTTTATTCTTCTTCTTTCCTTTTACTCATTTTTTTTTCTTATTGTTGTTTGTTATTGGAGCACAACTACCCACGGTGATGTGGGAGGCTAAACCCTATTTTTTCAGTTATTTTTTCCAACGAATTTAACATATTCCGGAGAAATTAAAAAAAATAAAAATACTGCGAATTGGTTCTCTCTGCTCACTACTAGAATTTCTCTAATTACATGCGAATTTTTCATAAAAATTTGCAAGAAACGTTGTTCCTGCAAATTTTCCTACGAAATTTTAATTGCAGGTAATATCTTCGTGGATAATATTTCTTTTCGAATTTTAAAATTCGCAGGAAATTTTCCTGCGAAATTTCTTGCGAAAAAAATTCACAGGAAAGTTTCTTGCAAAAAAAAATTTGCAGGAAAGTTTCCTAAAAAAAAATTCGCAGGAAAGTTTCCTGCGAATTTTTTCGCAATAAATTTTACAAGAATATTTTTTACGAAAAAAATTAAAGAAATTACTATGATACATAAATTAATGAATTCATCCGAAGCATTTGTTTCCATGCCTCCAACATGTGATACATAATCTTATAAATTCTAAGATGGTAAATTATAAGCCTAACACTTAACCATATAAATCAACTTGTAAGGTAAGTGTTGCCCCAACTTATATACTCTTTAATTGCTTTATTTTCAATCGATGTGGGACTTGAAGTTTTTTTAAAATATTAAACTTATAAATTTAAATATATTTTTTTTTATTTTTCCTGCGAATTAAAATTTGTAGAAAAATCTGCAGGAAAAGTTACCTACAAAATTTTTCTACTATTTAGTAAACATTACTTGAGAATTTATTTTTGCAAGAAAATCTGCAAGAAACAAAATAAAATTCTTACAATATTTTCTGCAAATTTTTACCATGGAAAAAATTTTCTATGATTATTAAAATTGTAGCAAAATTTGTAAGAAATATCTGTAAATTATTTTTCGCAAAAAATTTTTACGAATATTTTTTTGCATGAAAATTTTCAAGAAAATGATACTTTTCTAGTTGTGGCTGGTTGGAGCGAATTATGTGAATGTGACTATGCTTCTGATTTTGTTTCCATGAATTTTGCCTGCCTTTGTTATTTATTTTAATGTACAAAGTATTATTGGTCAGGCCATTTAGGTTTCATTTGTGGTCCAATGTTTATTTTGGTGGTGTATAAGTATAACAATGGTTTGTATTGCAGATTTGCAGCAGGTCTACTTGTGTCTTTAAATGAGTTCGTTCATCTCCATGCAAAAGATCGATGGACTCGTGAATGCTAATTGGTGAAGCTTGTGTGTTTGATTTGTTTCACCATTGTTATCAATCTTATTTTGGTTGATATATATTGTTTTTTTAGTTTCGTTTTTGTCATTTAGTAATAATTGCTTCCCAAATTTAATATGAATAATGTTACACATACTACAAAAATTAAAAAATTATATAATAATTTACAACATCATTTTTTATCTATCTTTTTTATAATTAATAATATCATTAATAGTATCTCTTTATTAAAGAGGAACACAAAAGTGATATTATCCGATTTGTTTATAACATTACTCTTTTAATATTATTTGTGTTACTTGTGCAAGTGGTATGCTCATCCTGGATCCAAAAACCAATTCTTTAATAGTGCTTGTTTCCTTTGGGTTTTATTACTGCTGATTTGTATTTGTATTATTGAGGTCATTTAGTGAAAATTAGCGAATTCAGTTCCCATCTATATCCTATTTCTATTCCATGATTTCTATTTTCTGTTTCCAATTTATATATGTGATTTCAATCCAATAAAGTAAGAACCACAAGAAAGGTACACTTGCAGTATTTAACAAAACCTAAAGAAGAGAATATACTATGAGTAGTGCTACATAATACGCAAATATTCTCCATGAAAAAAATACCAAACACATACTAATATTTTACTTAATGGAAATTGTTGATTAATCTTCCCTACTTTCCGGCCATATAACATTGACATAGGTATATTACGTACCATATTAGTGGCTCAATAAACTTAACTCCTGAATTAAAGCATTCAAATCAGAGTACGATGATCCTCCTTCTTGCATGGCCCCCTTAGCTAGTTGTGAAAACACCTTTGCTTTGTTCCTCATTTGAGTGGCTTCTTCCCCTTTCATTACTCTGTTCACAGCCTTCTCCACTGACTCCCATGAAATGATATCCCCCTGCAACTCTACCGGTATTTTAGAACCAACAGGTACCCCAATTTGCAGGACTTCAATCACCAATTTCTCATTGAAAAATTGTTCTGCAGCAATAGGCCAAGTAACCATGGGAACCCCTGCAGTCACTGCTTCCAAAGTTGAATTCCACCCACAATGAGTCACACATGCTCCAATCGCTTCATGTTCAAGAATCAGTAGTTGAGGTGCCCAACCTCTTATTATTAGTCCCTTACCTTCCATCCTCTTCTCAAATCCATCAGGCACCCATTCCTCTCCATCATGTTGTTTGTTTTTCTTCACCACCCAGATGAAATCTTGCCCTGATGCTTCAAGACCCGTAGCAATAGCTCTAAGCTGAGAATCACACAACTTTGCCATACTTCCAAAGCATACATAAACAACTGAATCGGGTTTCTTTGTGTCAAGCCACTTGAGGCACTCGCGCTCATCAATAGAAGCCTCCTTTCCTCTATTTGCCTTCTCTTGGGAGTTCCTGTTGCAAAGAGATAAAGGACCAACATGCCATGCTTTTCTTCCAAGCACCTTTCTGTAATGATCAGCATACACCTTCTCAAGTTCGTAGAAGCTATTAACAACAACCCCATAGCTCCTCAAGTCTGATTCCCTTGCCTCCTCAACCAGCTTCGACACAACTGTTATGTCATTACTCTTCAATAAAGATCCCGCTTGCATCCTTGTAATTCTAATCTCACCCGGGAAATTAGGAATGACGAACGAGTCGGAATCAGAAGAAACATCATCGTAGTGTCCCAGACACGCCAAAACACACAATGAGAAGAAACTAGTCCCATGAAACACGAGCCTAGGAATACCAAATTTGGCGGCGGAATCCGTTGTCCATGGGAAGAACATATCAGCAACAACGCAATGTGGACGTTGGTTGAGCAATAGTTGCTCAAACGGCTCTTGTAGCAAACGGGTGCCCAAAAGGAAGGGTTGAAGCATATCTGGGGAAGGGATTGAGTCAGCATTTTCACAACCATGAGGTAATCCAGCCTGTGCACAAGGGAACTCGATGGTTTGGATGTGGATCCCGTTGGCTTTTCCAATGACGTTGGAAATGAAAGCTGCGTTGAGGGGTGTGGTGATCACAGTGGCCTTCACACCCTTTTCGGCAAATAATTTAGCCATGTCAATTGTTGGTATCATATGACCAGGTGCCATCATAGGGAAGAAGAAAATATGTAGAGGATGATACTCACTACTACCCATCTTTCTCTCTACTGGAATAAAGAGGAAAAACACAGTAACATAGAGAGTCGTTATTTGCTTTTGGTTTCAGAGTCTCAAAGAACTTGTTATATAGGAACGGGACTGGACAATTTGTTGGACGCACTGACCAATTAAAATTGCAAAAGAAATCTATCTATTTTTAAAATTATTTTATTCAAGTAATATTATATTTTCATAATATTTGAAATTTTTTGACCCCTAATATTAAAGTACTTTTATTATTTATTTTTATGACTACATGTAAGACTTTTTCTAAAAATTTACTAACACCGTAAATAAAATATGTTTTTAATTACTTCATGTATTGCATTCATAAAAAAGTGATTAAATGATAATGAACGTTTATTTCTCATTGAGCTGCCGAAATAGATGTATGAAAATTTAAATATGTTTAATTTTCAACTGTGGTAATTATCTATGTAAGAGAATGTAGCAATAACGTCATTTTAATCAGATGTATAATTTTTTAAAATATCTATGCAATAGCACGAAGATTATCTTTATACGAGTAGGAGGCTTGCTAGGTTGGGAAATTTGGGAACCACATTCAGAAAAACATTTATTAAGTTGTGGGTCACTTGAGAGAAGGGTTCACTTCACGGTAGACATTGGTTAACTAGAAGGCCACAAATTAGTTTGTGGACAGCACTTCCGTGAGCCTGTGCCTGTCGGTTTCTGCATCCATGTGTCACTATTAAGAGATGACTCTGGAATACAGATTCAAATTGTAACGTCATTGCATACGTAGAAGCCATTATGCAAAGGAAAATTAATTAAATAATCTATGCTTAAATGGAATTTTTTACTGAAATAATTTTTTTATCAAAACAGCACTTGTTCTAATTTATTTCTAATTTATTTATAGAAGTAGCACCTTTTACTATTTACACTCAGAATTCAGTTCTAGGAACCGAATTCTGAACTTTAATTTTTGTTTTGTTTTTTTTTTCTCAGAATTCGGTTCTCGGGAAACCAAATTATGAGTAGTGTTTAAATTTTTTTTTCTTTTCTGTTTGTAGTTCAAGTTGTGTGTTAATGTTGCAATTGGAACGACCCGTTCTCAAAGCAGAACGGGTTGTTCTGCTTGCACGCGTAGTCTGTTAATTTTGAAACTAAAACGTCCAAGCAGAACAGCCCGTTTTGATCCATTCGTCATGTATGTATTTTTTCATCTGGAACGGCCCGTTCTGAAAGGAGCACGGGCCGTTCTGCAGGGAGAACGATCCTTTCTAAAAGGAGAACGAGCTGTTCTAAATCCAGTTTTACACCATGCTCAGATCCAAAATGAAAAAAAAAAATCACAGCTCAGAATTCGGTTCCCTCCTAAACGTGAATAGTAAAAGGTGCTTCTTAGGTAAATAAATTGGTACAGGTGCTTTTTTGGTAAATTCTTTTTTAAAAAAAATTCTATTTTAGTGAAAAATTTTGCTTAAATGTGTCAATTGTGCACTTAGCGTGTTTGGGTTCATGTTTTCTGGACTCGACCCGCTTAAAATACGTGAAAACAAGAAGCTATCATATCTTGCTTCTGCGTCAAATTCGTCAAAACGTGGATTATTGACGTGAATTCAAACATGCACTTAGTCATAGGATGGCAAAATGGGCTATGACATGCAGGCTGGCCTGTTGGCTCATCAAAAATTGGCGAGTCAGATTCTTCATTTTAACTCGTCAACTCGTCAAATTTGTCTCGTCAAATTTGTCCCGTCAAACCCGCTAACCCGTCGGGCCAAATAATGGGCTGACCCGTCACAATCCCCTAACCGACATAAATAATTGGGCTTCAATTACTTGCATAAGTAATGGACATGCTTTGTGGACTATCAAAAATTTTTGATTATTAGTAATTTGTAAGTTTATAATTTGATTTTGATTTTGGTGTAAGTGAACTAATTTCTATTTGATTTTGTTCTAAATTTGTAATTTCCTTTTGTTGAACATATATTATGTACAATATGTATGCATTTTTAATTTCATATAGTTATATTTATTTATTTGTAGCAATTTTTTTTTATTTGAACATAAAATATATGTTTTTCATTTTTTTTGTAATTTTTTTTTGTGGTATACCCGCCAGCCCGTCCTTAGGCGGGGCGCGCCAACGTTTCCAACCCGTTTTTCATAAGCGGCCCAACCCGTTTTTGGCTGGCCAGGCCAAAATGGGCCGGCCTGACCCGTTTTGCCACCTCTACTTAGTCATCCAGTATCGATTATAGTTGTTATTTTAATCTCTTAAATTTTAATATAATAATATTTTTAGTCTTTTAATTATTTTAATTGTGACATTTAAATTTATAAAATTTTGATTGAGTAATTATAGTTTTTAAGTTTTACAATTGTATGATTTTAATTTTTTATAAAAAAAATTAATAATTTTTATTGACACTACTATATTTAACATTTTTAATTATATTTTTCTATTTTTATTTATTAAATGTTATTATAGATTAAAATTATAGGTTATTGTAACATTTTTTAAAAAAATATTATTATAGATAAAATAATATTTTTTATTTTACTATTATTATTTTTAATTATTTTTTAAAATTAAGTCTAACATCAAGTAAAAGAATATGTAAGGATTATATTTCTCTAATTTCTAATTGATTCTCTGAATTTAAGTCTCACATTAACTATTGTAATGACACATAAAGAGTACAGATAACTATAGAATGAAACCTTAGATAAATAAAATTTGATATAAAATTTAAATTTAATGGTGATTAATCTAGGATATTTTTCTAATAAAAAAATTAAAATATATTCAATCTTAAATTTTTTTTTAAACAATAAGTGATAGTAATTTTATATTATTACTAATTATAATTTTATAAAATTTATAAAAATTTAACAACATTATTAAAATATTGCAAAACATCACTTTGAGAACTTTTTTAAATTGCAGTTATTAATATGTAAAATGTTACTAAAAATCTTTAATAACGTAGGTCTTATCTTACATTAAATAAAATGTTGCAAAAGTATATCAGTAATATTTACTCATAAATTAGCAACATTTTTTTATTGTTACTAAAAATATATTTTGTTGCAGTATGATGTGGCACTAATAAGTGATAGAATGTATCAATATTTTTATTTAAATTTATTTTAATATATTTATCATACCTAATATATTTATATTTTTGTTAATATATATATATATATATATTTATTAATTTATGTTTATAAAATTATTGATTTATTTATAAATATACTAATATTATTATTGATATTAATTTATCAATTATGTTATAATATTAATGAAATATATACATTTTGTTTATTTATTAATAGTAAATACATCTCATTTAATACATGAATAAAATTTATAAACTAATATAAAATTTAATTACATTATAACTTTTTAAAAAATAATTTCATTTAAGAATATTGTGATAACGTGTTGACACTTGGTATTGATTATCAACAGAAATTATAAATATGAATTTTTAAAAAAAATGATTAGGAACAAATTTTCAAAAAAAAATTCAAATTAAAGATTTTATACATCTTGAAATATGAATAGTTGTAAATACAAAAAAAATCCATTACTTACCTCTTTACTAAAAAATATTTATCAATAAATTTTTTAAAAAATTGAATATCACTTTTATATTAAAACTTAATGTAACAATTCGATGTGGTCCTAGATTTATCGGTTCAAATATAAACAAAGAAAATAATTACATCTATCTAAGGTTAATATACATGCAATATTTGGTATACTAGAGGTAATATATGCATACATGTACAAAGATTTTACAATAACTAAAATACTATACAAGTATATATATATATATATATATATATAGATAGATAGATAGATAGATAGATAGATAGATAGAGAGAGAGATACATATATACATATATGTATACAGTAATTCAAAGGAGAAAACTGTATGAACTTAGGTTACTGATTAAGCAACTTTGCAAAATATCCACCTTAGTAGCACCTAGCTACACTACATCCAACATGGCTCTCAAACCTCCAAAAGTCTCCAGTCTAACCCTACCCTACTCTCATGTAAACATGATTATCATAGTTCAACTACCAGGAAAATATACATGGGTAAGCTAGTGTACGAAGGGATAATCATACAATAGGTATAGAAGGAAAGACAACCATACTATTGAAACCACTCAACAAAGCACTTCATGGTCTATAACATGTCAAAACAACAAACGCCTCAACATAATATTCAACAACTTACAAAACTAAGCAACTTATAACATAAGATACTTCATATTTCACCATATCAATGTCGTTCAACAATCATTCCATATAGCATATGAACACACCAAAATACACACATCATATGCAACACGTCTCAACTACATGTGTCATCATGCATTCGGTTATGGAGATCTTCGACAACAAAGGTGAACAATCTAAAAGGCTTGACCCTAACGAACTAATCAATCTTTTTACACCTGCTAGATCAACAACCAATTGAGATATCAATCCTTACAACATGATTTCTCTGATGTCGTCACTTAAACTAGGAACGTGCAACACCAATGTTAGGTATAACATAGCTTGGGTATGAGCCTACCATGACATTGACATGCATTAACCAAGTCACTTATGGATTCAACTCGCTAATTATCCTCACAATACCACACACCTCTCTAGTAATCGGTTAAAAGTTTTAGTCCTCAACTTCATACATTACTCCAATATTAAATAAGGATCTATAAGAGACTTAACACCCACTCCAAGAGATAATGACTAGACAAGGAAGATTTTTCAACAATTAGACTCATAGAGCACCATGCCAATATCCACACTATGCGATATCCGACTTTCAAAAATATCATATCTTCTTGTCCTAAGATAATCAACACCACATGCCTAAATGTCTTGAGCACTCTTAATATCATCATCTCAACATTCAACAATTATAATCATTTATTTATATTATCTCAGATCGATATACATAGAACCATCAACACCTATCAACATACAACATGTTATAGATTCACCTAACCTATTCATGTTCACCATATAATCATTCAAACAAGTTTTCACAAATAAAACCATGCTTAGCACTACACAC